AGCTGTTGTTTTCAAAGCTTCTCCATTGTACATAGAAAATACATCTGCTTTCAGTAGAGTCAAGTAATCAAGTCCCTGGACTCGCTAGGCATGGACCTGATGGAGCCACCCCATAGACAACAGGAAAGCTGACAGAGGGTGAAATGTTTCCCTTAGGCTCCAGTCAAAGTGACTTACACATAACACATTTTAAATTCACTTGGCTCTTTGAAAGAACTTATCTGATTATGGGGAGGATGATGTAACAGGGCTTGGGAGATTTGTAAGTAGTGAGAGTGAGGCAAAAAAAATAAAATAAAAAAGAACCAATAAATCATTAAAAATACACAGAAAAGAAAAGGAACCTCAGAAGGGTACACAGAAAAGCAGGACAGTTTTACTGTTTTTAAAGATAACAAATATTAAATAACAGCATAAAATAATTAAAAACTCTCATATGCAATCATCTTTTTCTGTTCTTTATTCATTGAAAGTTTTCTGTTCATGAATGCTTAAGTTAATCATAAAAATAAAACAAATTAAAAGAAGACAGAAATGTCTGTCCATTTATGTTCCATGTAGCCACTCCCCAAACATGGTACAGTCTCTACAATCTTTCATCTTGCCTTGCGATGATCCAATGACTTCTAATTATAGTTGTTCATGTTGGAGTTTGATCATATGAGCAATCATTACCGTTTTCTTCCTTGTAGACAGTGCCATTCAACCTTATTGAATTCTGAAGCTTTCTTAATATCTAAGTTTAAGCATTCAACTCCAAAATCACACATTCTCAAGGTAACTGAGTCTTGTAATTCTGAGGCTGAGCTCTGGATCTCCTTTGCCATGCCATAGCTCTTTGATCTGAAGCCTCCCTGCAGACCTGGAATTTGTACATTGGAAGTACTGTCCACTTCTATGGCCTCTTCCTCTTATTGGATAGCTCCTCCCAGAGCCTCCATTTGAGGAAGTCTTCTATATCAGTCATGTCTTTATTCCTTTCTGAGCTGCATGTCAGGTTTTCTCTATCATGCTCCAGAACTGGTTACATTTGCACCCTTTCCTCACATTTCTATGCCAGCTTAATTTGATTTGTTTTCTTCTCGCATTCCAAACTAAACTTTTTAAAGTTAGAAACCATCTTTTTCTACTTGTATTTGTATTTCACATGGTTAATATAGTACCTGGCATGTAATAGGTTCTTAATAAATGTTTGTTGACTGACTGACAGAGATCATTTAATTTTGTCCATGTTTGTCCAATAAATCATTTTGCAATATTGAGGAGATGATGAAGATAGAATCAGGTATAGAGTATTGTTCAAATCTTAGTATGGTGAAAAGAGGCTATCGCCACTCCTTCCGATTGACTGACTGAATAATAAACTGGGGAGCTTGAGATATCTCAATACATAAGTGGAGGATTTGAATCTCATTACTGAAAACAAAAGAAAAGAAGACCCACAGAAAAATCCAAAGTCCTTATTACATATAATATATAGCATTTACTTTTACTATTTATTATTATTTTATTATTTATTATTAGTAGTAATTATAACAATTACTTATAACATACAAACAGCCTGGTATAATGCTCAAAGAATGGTATTGAAGGGAAAACCTAGGTTGACATGCTGTGACTAACTGGTTGTGTGATCATGAGCATAAGATACAAGAGTATTCCAGATCTTTCCCAGTAGAGGGAGATGTCATACAGGAGGTACCCCATTACAAAGAAATAAAGGTTATCAAACAAAAACAAAAAAAAATTGGAGAGAATGTTAATAATGTTTCCTGCAGCATTAATTATTATCCCCAAGTACCTTAACAGAAAGATTAGATTCCTTGCACAAAGTCATATAATGATCGAGTTTAATAGGTAGATGGGAAATTTCCAGGGCTCTACATCCTGCCCATTCTATTGTAAGAGCTGACCTGAAGATTCCTCAAAAAGATGTATTAAAAGTTTTGAAAATCTGGAAACTATCTTGCTATGAGGGTTGGAATTATGAGAAAATGTTCAAATTCCCTGAATTCCTAAAAACTGTAGATCAGAGTTGGAACTGCAGATGCATCATTAGAAAGCTACAGGGTGAAGGTGCTTCCAAGGTCAGAAAGAAAAGAGAAAATTGAGTTCCTATATTCTATGGAGGCTAAATAGGATATGGACCTTGGAGACTTTGTGTGCTAGGAAAATACAGATGTAGAGAAAATAATTTCTTAGATATACTCTGTAATTAAAAGGATAAGCCTAATGAAGACTTTGCCCCACAGAAATTTTAATGAAATAATATTGACATCTTTATTCCTCAGGCTATATATGAGAGGGCTTAACATTGGGATGACTGTAATATAGAACACTGATATTACTTTCTCCTTGTCCATGGATTGACTAGAATAAAGTCATAAATACAGGAGGATTTCCATCCTACAGAATATGAAAACTACTGTGAGGCAGAAAGCACGGATGAACAAATCTTACTGGTGGCTTTCAGCAGCACGGATTCTCAAGATGGTTTTGAAGATGAATAAGAAAACCAGTAAGATGACAAAAGGGTGGAGGAAAGATATCGAATCATGCAATATACAAAACTAATTCTCTGAGTTATGTTTCATAGCAGAGAAAGCTGTAAGTGAAGGCAAGTCACAGAAAAAGTGATGGACCACATTGGAACCATAGAAGTCAAAACTGAAGAAGTTGTCTCTGTGAATGGGAGAATTCAGAAAGCCACAAATATTAGAACCAATAGCCAAACTAGTAGTTATTCTAAATATCATTGTGGGTGTGAAATGGAAAATCTTATAGAAAGCTACATTTAGATCTTAGGTGAAAAAAAAATTCGAAGTGAAATCCCATCGTCCACAGGTACAGTTTCAATCCCCTTTAATTCTAATGTCTTCCCCCTCCTAAGTATTTACTAGATATCCTATTTATAGCTTGTTTGTATATATTGTTTGTTTTCCCTAGCATTTTGTAAGCTGCTTAAGAGCAGGGTCTGTCTCTCGCTGCTTTTTATATCTCTAGTGCTTAACACAGTGACTGCCATATAATATGCACATAATAAATGTTTATTGGTTAACTGATTGATAAAATCATAATAATGAATTACCTAGAGAAAAAATTCCTTATTTGATAAAAACTGCTGGCAAAACTAAAAAACAGTCTGGCAGAAGTTAGAATTAGATAAGCACAGTAAACCATGTTCCACTAAGTGTATTGTCATTTAGTCATATTCAGTCATGTCTGACTCTTTGTGACCCCACTTAGGATATTTTTGGAAAGGATAATGAAGCGGTTTTCCATTTCTTTCTCCAGTTCATTTAGTAGATGAGGAAACTGAGCCAAACAGGGTTAGGTGATTTGCCCAGGATTTCAACAAACAGGATTAAGTCACTTGCCCAACTTGTCACAGCTGTTAAGTGTCAGGAAGATGAATCTTACTGATTCTAGGCCTGCCACTCTATCCACTGCATCACCTAGTTATCTTTAAGTGGATAAGTGACATTAATATTAAAGTTAACACAAAAATAAATAGAAGAGAAGCAGATCAAATACTTCCCACAGTTATGAGTAGAATATGTATTCTCAAGCAAACAAGAGATAGGAAACAATTACAAAAGATAAAGTAGATAACTTTGATAAAGCGAAAAAGCTTCTTCACTGACAAAATAAATGCAAAATAAGAAGGCAAAAGTTGCATGGGAAAAAATATTTGTATCACATTGCTTTGATAAGTGATTGGTGTCCAAAATTATATATTTCTCTGTGTGTAGCATATACATATATATGTGTGTGCGTGCGTGTGTGCATGCATCTGTGTGTATACTTGTATATAGATATATAATAGCCACTCCACAAAATAAGATAAATGTAAATCAAAACAACCTAGAGGCTTCACCTCATACCATAAAAATTGGCAAAGATAACCAAAAAATATCAATAGTCAATGTTGGAGGGCCTATGGATTAATAAGCACATTAATCCATTGGTGGTTGAAGTGTAAAATGGTACAATAATTTTGGAAGCTGATTTGGAATTATGCAAATAAATTGACTAAAATTCTCATGCCCTTTGAATCAGACTCCCTTACTAGCCTTATACCCCAAAGGAAGCCACTGATAAGAAGAAAGATCCTATACACACCAAAACATTTACTGCAGCACTTTAAAAGATAGCAAAGAATTGGGAACAAAGCAGATGCACATCAGCTAGGAAATGGCTAAAAGAATGACAGTGCTTGAATGAATGGAATGTCACTGTGCTGTAAGAAATTATGTATCTGATGAATAGAGAGGGTAGAATACAATGGGTAGAATTTATTAAGAGGAAAACTTAGACTTGATTGATATTAGGGGAAAAAATGCTAAGCCATTAGTGCTGGACAAAAGTGAAATGGATGTCCTCAATGGCCAGTGGCTTTCCCTTCCTTATAGGTCTTCAAACGGAGGCTGGATTCCTTATTGGGAATGTTAAGAGTGAAGATTCCCTTTGAGTATGAGTTAGAATATAAGACTATAGAAATCTCTTCCAACTCACAAATTCTTTTCTTCTTTGATTATAATTTCAAATGTTATGAATATTTATTAAGGAAAACTTAGAAGAGGAAACATGAAAAACAAAACAAAAAAAAACAACACAAACCCTAAGAGTTTTTATATTGAGGCAAATATAGGTGAATTAAGACCTCTGTTTCCATTATATAAAAGGGTTAGATCTCATGACATAATAGGCAAAGGGATGGCCTGTACCCAAAGAAGCCAATAAATGAACAAAAATTTATTAAGTTCTTACTGTGTTTCAGTCACTATGAAAGGTCCTGTCTGTAACTGTGACTATGTTATATATACAGTGGAATCAGCTACTGGAGGGCAATAAGAGGAGGTGTTTCCAGATTGAGAATAGAAAGAGGATATTTACCACATATGATCCATAAATAATAAAGGGTGTGCCAGCCTAGGAGAGGATGTACATTAAAGATAACAGTGTGGAAGAAAAGTACTTGAATACTTTTTTTTCCTTGATTAGGAAGCACCTAATGAAGACTTTGTCTTCTCCATGATTTTCTTCAAAGCACTACTGACTTCCTTATTCCTTAAACTATAGACCAGAGGATTCAACATGGGGATGACCATGGTGTAGAACACTGATGCCATTTTGTCTATGTCCATGGAATGTCTGGAACTGGGTTGTAAGTACATGAAGATTACTGTCCCATAGAATATGGACACAGCTGTGAGATGGGAAGCACAGGTAGAGAAGGCTTTCTGGCGGCCCTCAGCTGAGTGCATCCTCAAAATGGCAATGAAAATTAAAAAATAAGATTTCAAGATGATAAAAAGGGCAAAAAATACATTGAATCCTACAGCAAAGTAGACAACCACTTCATTGATGTATGAAATAGAGTAGGAGAGAACCAAGAGAGGTGGAATGTCACAGAAAAAGTGATGTACTATGTTGGACTTGCAAAGGGAGAGGCTGAAGGTGTTTGCTGTGTGAATGGAAGAAAAAAGAAAACCGCAAATATGGGAACTAATGGCCAGACAAGCACACACACTCGATGTCATTGTGGTGGTGTAATGGAGGGGCTTACACACAGCAACCTGGCGATCATAAGCCATAGCAGCCAGGAGATAACTTTCAACTGTGGCAAAGTACACAAAGAAAAACATTTGTGCAGCGCATCCACTATAGGAGATGGTTTTGTCCCCTGGGAGGAATCCAGCCATCACTTTGGGAGTAATGGCTGAAGAGTAGCCAAAATCTGTCAGAGAGAGGTTACTGAGGAAAAAATACATGGGTGTGTGGAGGCGGGAGTCCCAAAATATCAAGACTACCAATCCCAGGTTCCCCACCATGGTGATGAGGTAGATGATAGTAAATATTGTGAAGAGGGGCACCTGAAGTTCAGGGGCATCTGTTATTCCCACAAGGATGAACTCCTTTGCCTCTGAACAATTCTCCATAAGTGGCTTGTAGGGATTTGAAGGATTGAACTGGAACAAGAGAAACACAAAAAAGACAGAATAAATCAAGGTATCAGCATTCTTTTGTGAGGGTTATAAAATCCTATTTTGTATGAGATGAAACTACAAAATTTTGTCACTTAAAAGTTAGAATTTTTATGTTTAATAAATTAACATCACATTGATCTTTCAGTTATGATTTTTTGCACATGTAAGTCCCCTTGTATTCATTAAGATCATTATTAAATAGGTGTTCAATCTCCACAACTCCCATGACCTCTGTCTTTACTCAGGATCAGTCACATATATTGTGGCCATACTATTGAATTGGTCATCACTCCAACTCCAATCCAGAACTCTGAAATTCCTCTTTGAACACCTTCTTCTATCTTACCATTGCATATTCTGCTTCAGCATTCTCTGCCTAGATATACTCTTTACCATAAATACCAGTTCCTATGCCCTACCATTTTTCCAAGTTTTTTTTCCCTTTCTTTGGCCTCATCTTTCCCCTTCACAGGATTCACCCCATGACTGATTGCTTTAGTGATACTCCCTCAGCTGACCAAGAATTCCTTGCTCCCTTCTCTTTTCTCCACACACTCCAAACCAGGATTATGCTCACCATGTACCTTTAATGGTTCCACAAATGTGGGGCTCACCAAGGCCCATAATGCTGCTGAATGGATTCTCTATAAAAATTTCTTGTTATCTTGTTATTACACACACCTTGGGCCAAAGGAACACAGTTGTTCTTCTCTGATTAATTCTCCATCCCAATTTCCTACACCACTTTCTTCCTCTTGTATCAATAGAAAGAAATGTCTTCACTCTTGGATTCTCTCTTTTCTCTACTCCACACTCTAAAACCCTCTTGATTATTCCATTCTGCTTTGTGATGGATCTTCTCACTGCTAAGGTTAATCTCTCTATGTGTGTTCTTCATCTTATCTCATCCTATCTCCTCTAAAGATATTCATAAATATGATTTATATAGCATTATTAGTTTAGGAAAGTGATTTATTAACATTACCTCAATTGATCCTTACAACAAACCTGGGGTATAAGTCTATATCCATTTTACAGAGGAGAAACCAGAAGCAGACAGAGATAAGAGATTTGTCAAGGGTCACCTAGTAAGTAGCTGAGGTCCAATTTCAACTCAAGTCTTTCTGACTCCATTTACCATACTAAATACATTGGGAAGCCTACGAGAACTTACTCCCTTAATCATTACTTCAGTTTATTTTTTCCTCTTATACAATTTCTCATTCCCTATTATCCAAAATGATGCCCAGATGCTGCCATCTTTAAAAAAAGTCATCATTATAAAGATGCATTTTCCACGCAATTACAATGTGATATTCCTAAAGCACAGATATATTTTATCTCTTCGATGCTCAGTGTTGTTCAGTGAATCTCTACTGTTTCTGAAATAAAATATGAATGCTTCTGTTTCATATTGAAAACCTTTCACAAACTCTCTCCATCCTATCTTTTGAGATTGATTTCATACTATTCCTCCTGTCATGTGTCCCACATGTAAGGCAGATGGATCGACATTCATTTCTCCATCCTTGATCTCCCATCTCCCATCAATGTGCCTTTGTCCAACCTGATCTCCACGTCTCTGAAGCTCTATCACTTTAACACTTCCTCTTAGAATCTCTGACTCCCTGAAACATGCAGTTCAACTGCCCACTCCAATACAATTTAGAACCTCTCCTGTTCTTGTTGTTTGTGCCACACACACCCCCAAATAAATGGTGTCTATTTCCTTGATGTGTATTTTCTATTGGTTGATCTCTGTAAACATTGTTTTCTACCAATAGAATATAAGATCTCTGAGGGTGGGAAATATTTGTGTTTTGTGGGGGGGAGGTGTACTCAGAGATTAACAATACCTGGTAAAGAGTCCAGACTAGATATATGTTTGTTGGATTGAATTAATTGCATGAATAAAATTGAAGTCATAAAAACTATTGTATAGGAAGACTTGATAAAAAATAATAAAGACCAACAATATCTACATAAAGTTTTAATAGATTCATTAATTTAAAACTCAGAATGACTTTAAAGGTCACCTATTCTTATCCCTTCATTTATAAGTGACTTGCTTAAAGTCTCTGTGGCTGACCCAGGATTAAACCATGGTACTCTGGTCTCAAATTCTTCCCTCTTTAAAGAAGCCTGGTGTGAGGAAGACTAGAGAGCTCTGAGTTTAGAAAGCTGGGTTCTAGTCCTGCTACTACCACCACCACTAACTTACTCTGAAACTTTAAGCAATCACCTCCCCAACCTGGGCATGAGTTACATCACCTGCAGGCTGAGGGAGCAAGTCCATATGACCTTTTTTTTAAAAAAATTCAAAATGTATAGTGTGATCTAGGCAATTACAACACTTTAAATCATGAAAAAAATCTGAAAGGAGGAATTTTACTGTTAAAATTAAAATGTCATCCCTTGGAATAGCTGGAAGATATTTTTAAAAATTCAGAGTTCATGGTTCTTTACGAAGTGCTTTGAAATATTTGGGTGAACAAATAATAAGTATATGAAAGAATAACAAGAGTTAAATTCATAGTTCCCAGGTTTTAATAACAATTTCTGAAATACATGGGGTGAACAAATGGTGAGTATAAAAAGTAATGACAACTGGGGACATGGCAAGACTGTTCCAGTTCTGCCCTTGACCACTTATCACCTGAGGCACAACTCTTACCATCTCAGAGTCTCAGTTTCTCAGCTATAAAACTGGAAGATCCATGTGGTCTTTACTTATTCAATCTTAAAATATAGTAGACCAATAAGTGGAAAAGAGGATAGAAGAAGGATATGAAATCAGGATGACATGAGGTCAAACTCTGTCTAAGACAGACACTTGTCACCTGTATGACCCTGGACAAGTCACTTAACATTTCTCAGTCTCAGTTTCCTCATCTTTAAAATGGAGGTAATAATAGCACCTATCTCACAGGACTGTTGTAAGGATCAAATGAGATTTTAAAACGTACAATGCTTTGTGAACCTTGAAGGTCTCAATAAACCATAGCCACTACTATCATCTATTTGAATATAAAAAACTTGAAACATTATGAAAATGGCTGTTCCAAATCTAGGATTCTGAAGTCTTACCTCCCAACACATTGAAGACAAGGATACAATTTTTCTTTCATGTAGCACTCATATTGTAGAGCTAAGTAGAACCTACCCCCAGTATTCTAATAGCTGAGACCTACATGTGTCCTTTAGGATGGTGACGAGACTTTAAGAGAGAAGACTAACAGAGTACCTTCACCTAAACATAAGTCTTCAATTAGAAGCTTAATCCAGGAGAAGAGGATTTGGAGAATCTGTGCCTGGCATCTGGTGCTAAAAGCTCAGAGTTTTCCACATCATGGTCTATTATCCTCAGCCACTGTTGCTCCTTGGATCTTGCTGACAGGAAGGTCACTACATGAACTAAAGTAATGTTTCTGATCTTATTAATAAATGAAGGATGAAAACAACCAAACCTCAGGCTTGTCCAATGGACATGGGTCCGAATTAAGACATAAAAGGCTTTCTGTGGCTTCCAGTCACAAACTTGCAGTAGAGTTTTACAAGAACGGGCATGTTGGTGCTCTTAAGGGACAAAGGCTCCCCTGAGGACACCCAGAGCTACTTATTCTGCACCTCTGAAGAACACATAATGACATACCCAAGTCTGTGGGGACACAATCACAATTACTAAGGGAAGTCATGGGTGTATTCAGATGTTATTGTCAGGATTTCTCCACAGAGAAAATGGCTGCTTTCGTGAGACACAAGGAGCAGGACCATGAACTCACTAGGCCTAGACTTGAAGGAACCGTGACATGGACAATAGGAAAATAGTAAGGGGATGAGACTAGTCACTCAGGTCTCAGGCAGAGTGCTTCTTGCCTCTTTGGAGAAAAATGTCTGATGGGGGAGGGATGAGATATATAGAGACTTGGGGGATTAATAGGTAATGACAATGATGCAGGAAAAAAATAAAAAAAAAACAAGAGAGAACCAGTGAATCATTTTAAACATGCACAGACAACAGTAGAATGAATTTCAAATTTGAATTTCAGAATCAGATACTCTCAGACATAGAAGGGACCTCAAAGTACATTGAGTCTGGTCCACACTTGAACAAGAATTCTTTTTGCAGTATAGTGGAGATAATGGAGATAGAATTAGTTGTCAGCTATTACTCTAATCATAGTGTGGTGAGAAGACATTGCCAAACCAAAATAAAAAAGATTGGGGAGAATATTAACAATGTTTCCTGTAGCATTAAAGCGTTATTGTCCACAAGTCACTCAATGGAAAGATTAGTTTATATGCATCAAATCATATAATAAGCAAGTGAGATAGTCACATGAGCAGTTTCCAGAACTCAACATCCTTCCCTTTTCTACTATGAGAGCTGACCTAAAGGTTCCTCAAAAAGATGAATTGAAAGTTTTTGAACTTCAGAAACTCTCAGGCACTGATGGCTGGAGTCATGATTGGGAAGTTTCAATGATGCTTCTAAGGTCAGGAATGAAAGGGAGGATTCACTCCAATATTCTATGAAGGTTAAACAGGCTGTGGGCCTTGGAGAATGTTTGTACTAGGAAAATATAAATGTAGAGAAAACAATATCTTAGGTGTGCTCCTTAATTAAAAGGATAAGCCTAATGATGAATTTGTCCCCCCACAAATTTTAAAGGAACAATGTGGACATCTTCATTCCTCATGCTATAGATGAGAGAGTTCAACATTGGGATGACCATGATGTGGGACACTGACACCACTTCCTCTGTAGCCATGGAATGACTAAATCAGGGTCATAAATACAGGAGGATTCCTGTCCCACAGAATATGAACATTGCTCTGAGGAGGGAGACACAAATAAGAAGTACTACTGGTACACCTGAGCAGGACAGATTCTCGTAATGATTTTGAAGATGAATAAGAAGTCTAGTAAGATCGCAAAATGGGGTGGGAGA